TTATAGAAGGAATCAACAACATAAGAAAATAATGAAATTCCCTCCAAGTTACTCTTAACAGCCACCTTCCAGTGCCTGTAATCAAAGAGTCAGGAACATAGGAAGGCTTGGCAGAACCAACGAGGAAGCCAGCAACGGACAAACTCTGCCCATGCGCAACTGCCAGAGCCTTCCCTAGGTCAGGCTGGCCCTGCTCTGTGCTTTTCCTTTAATCTAGTCAGTGGTCACCCTGTCATAAAAGTTATTAGAGTAGTCCATGAACTCTTTCTAAATCCTTACTATATTAATTCTTAGGACTCGATTCTCTCAAAACCTAATGTTAAGATAGATTTTCCACACTAATGCCCACTTCCCCTAGTGAAACTCAAAATCCCTACCTATATCTAATCTCAAGTAGGCCAAATTCCTTCTTTTAAAATGTAAATATATGCTGAACATTGGTTCTTCCTTCTTCACCCTGAAAGTTCAGGGTCCTGTTATGAGGTAAGTTAAATGTCTCAGTCCCAAGGGGCCTATAGAGCACGAACATCTCCTTACAGTGACCAGGCTGTCTCTGTTATATACTGAGCAGTGCCTTTAAGGCAGCTCATAGCACAAACAAAAAGGCAAATCCTTGGCCTCATAAAGCAGCTTTGGTTTCTGTGACACCATGTGCTGGTATCAGTTTGCTTCACCCTGAATATTCCTGTATCTTCCTGCTGCTTCTTCCTCTACCAGGTGCTGACCCTAGCTTCCTCACTCAGTTCCAGCCCTTGTATTTTCTTACCTCTTGGCATCTCGTGCCTTGGCACCCGGTAACCAACTACAGCACTTCAGCTCACTCTAGCTCTTGCCTCCCAAACTGGCAGTGACTTGAACCTGTGGATGCCTGGCAACTGTGCACGACTTCCTCCCAGAACTGAGTCCACAACCTCCAGCTGGATTTGACCTTTTTTTTTGCTGCTGCTTCTGCAGAGCTGGCCTCAGGCATGCCCTGGAATTGATCTTACCGTGTACTACCCGCAGTCTGGAATGGCACTTCCTTGTTCTCAATGGTGTATAATGTTCCTTTTCTGGGTGTGGGCTATTCCTGTTTTCCAATTACTTTGTAGGGAGAAGGGATGGGCAAATGGAAGTATTTTTATTATGAAACATCTCTGCCTTTTGGATAGCATCTCTTACCAATTGATTTCCTCCAGCTAATTCAAAGGTCAATATTTTTCTTAAAACATCTATTTTTTTCCCCATGATATTGCTAAAAGAGGAGATTTCCTGTTTCAAAGTCCATCCTCTACCCTGCCTGCCTCAGTCCTCCTGACCAAATGCCATTTTGATCATCTACTTAGCTATTTGTCCATCTTTCACTCTGTGGGTTACATTTACTAGTTGACTACTAGCCACATAAAATCATAATTTGGTGATTTAGAAATAAAAAGGACCTGGCAAGGGGGAAAGGCTAAAAGGGAATAGTGGGGGCCACTCACCTGTTTCAGTAAACATCCCTGCTTGATAATGACCCCTCTGAATTCTTCTTTCAGAATAATATCATCATCACTGGAATTCTCTTCACAGAAGAACCCACTGTCTGGCTATGGGCACAGAAANGAGCTCTTTGGCCCAATGCCCCTGACACAGTAGTATAACCCTCATGGGAGAGAATCAAAAAGCCCTGCACTGCAAGCAGAGGCTGAGTACCCAACCCAGACGGAGCTGTCTTTATGCTTTAGAGTTGGCTCATTTTATTGAGGAAAAAGCCCTCTTGTGAATACTCAACAGCCCAAATGGCTAGACTTAAACAAGTGCTTTCATCCAAGTTGTCCTAGAAGAGAAATTATCACTTTTTTGCCTATTAAAAAAGAGCAAAGTGTTGAGCTGGCTGAGTTCCACTAAAAATATCAGACTGGGCAAACAAACAAAAAGGATGTTGAGTTGACTAAATAAATGACAACATAGTGATATTGTCTTCCCTCCCTGAGCTTATGCAGGCCTCAAAGCCTAAGATCTCAAACCTTTTGTCATAAGAAGGGGTAGGAAAAGGTAGAGGAAGGCTGGATAAAAAGAAGTGGGAGGGTGAACAGGACAAGGGGACATCAACAGAGCAGAAGGGAGACTGGGAGTCCCCGCGAACAGGTGCAGTAGAGGCTTTCGGTGGAATGGATTTATCAACCACAGGATCTTACCCCAGCAGGGTCATAGTAGTGCAGATAGGCAGGGTCTTCTCTCAGAATGAACTTCCTCACTTTCCAGTTTTTCCTCCTATGCCCCTATATCCAGGATCAACATGAGAAAAGGAATGATGAATTCTTAGCATTACGCTGTATACATAGTACCTACATAATAAGTTCTTACTGAATTGAAAAAAAAAAACTAACTTCAGGAGAACCAGGCTCTAACCCAGATCTCTGTCAGGGAGATAACACTAGGGCCAATGAATAATTTGGATGTTATTAAATTGTGGATTAAATTATTTCTATGATTGACTTCCAGCTTGGTATCATATAAGACAGTACTACGTACAGTGTATAGTGTTAGGTAATGTGGAACTACACAGAGATACATATTATGGCCCTACTCTTCTAAGAGTTTATAACCTATGTGGAAATATACAACGGCAAATGTCGAAATTAAATAATTGCTATAGATAATGGATTTCAAGGGAATAAAACAATTGTGGGTTGAGATGTCAAAGAAAGCCTTAGAAAGACCTACATTTATCCATGGGGGACACATAGGAGTTAGATGAGTGAGAAAGAGGTCAGTGAGAAGACCATTGACAACAAAAAAGCTGCAGTGAGAATGCACAAGTCATATTCAGATGCTGGTGAATGAGAGCAGTCATACAAGAAGGCAAGGTTCATGAGGAACAGCAGAGGCAATACTGGAAAAGTAGAAGAGACATAGTAAAAATAAAAGGTGGGGTTGTCGCCGATGGCTTTTGAGTTGGAAGTGGAAAGATTACAACCACATTTTATTTAGGAAGATGAATGTGGAGACAACATACAGCATGGACCAGCTGGCTAGGTTAACCAGGGCGAAGATAATAAGGTAAAAAAAAGGAGGTCATTAGGAAATGATCTCAACAATCCAGACATAAAATTATCAGGGACTAACCAGATAGCAGCAAAGGAAATGGAAAGGAGGAGTTACTGTGCCAGACGCAATGAAAAAGAATAGGACTTGGCCTTTTCCAAGAGAATTAAACACTGACACTGTCTAGACTGTGGGTTTTGAGGGCAGGATTTGTGTACTTGACTGTCTTTGGTCCTCTAATGCCCAGCACTGTGCCTGGCACAAGGAAGCTGCTTCTTATCTGCTATAATTACCTTGAATTCCCCAGTTATTTCAATTACCTTGTAGCAACTTTTTTTTAATGTCATGGTAAACCTGATTCGATGAATTCCCACAGAAAATTCAAGTGACTTACATAACTCCAGAAGCCAAAAAATATTAGATGAAAAGATATATGCTTTCTGTCTTACCAAAATGAAGAATACTGTTATTTCTAAAGCATCACACATTGACAGGCACATATATGAATTTTCCAATATTTATCATTGTACATACTTGTATAGAAAAGCAATGAAACCCTTATCATTTCAGAAAACAGTGCCTCTTTCATAATGCCAGGTCAGAGGAGTTCAAGGAGAGCTTTCAAGAATGGGTCTATGTTACTTGGCTGAGCATTTGGTCAAGGAGCTCACCTCCAAAGAGTCTTTTCCTTGCCTGAAGGTTGGAGCCAGGAGCCATGTCTAGTCATATGTGAGAACAGGGACTATTTCTACCCTGTAATATCATATCCAGAATGGTTTTTACAACGCATCAACTTGTCAAATTCTTTTTATGAATTCCTGCTATTTGTCTTAGTTAATGTTGCCCATAAAATGTGGATACTAAAGTTTCCACCCCCCACCCATTTCCTCCTGACCTGCACACACATGACATGTTCTCTTACGCAATCACTGGGTAAATACCAAGTTCCCGTGAGTCAATGGAGGAGGAAGGTAACAGGAGGATGTGAAATTAGCCAACACTGGTTAACTACCGTATTCCCTTTAAGCCCTAACTGGCATCACAATTTGATGCACTGAAGAGTTTGATGTTAGTAAGGGGTGTCTGGCCTCTTCCATTTAATGAGTATTTCCTGAGGGATCTTACAGAATGAATGCATGCCTGGGGGTTCCAAGAATTGTTGCTGGTCTGCCCAAGTCATCTACTTATACTTCATTTAATTCACTGTGCAAATGTTTGTTGCCTATTATAGGCCAAGAAGAATGCTAAACTCTGCAGCAGATATGAGAAAAACACATATAACAAACACATTGTCCCTCTCCACCAAAGAATTTTTATGTAGTTGAAAAACTAAATACTTTATTCATTGTCATAATAGAATGAATTATATAAAACAGGGTTATCCTGAATATAATAAAGTATCATTCATCCTCAAACTTGCTATGTCCCCCAAGTAGAATTATTTCCTCTGGGATGAGAGAAGTGGGGAGAAGAAGGGAGGAGGGGTGGGGACCAATCTCCAGTTGGACACAGCTACTTCCCACCTGTAAGGTGTGGAACACCGGTGTATTTTTTCATGATAAGCTTCCTATGCAGGTTAACTGTGGCTAACTCCCAGCAGTAGACACAGGGTGGTTTAATTTTTGTGGCACCTAAAGACGGCATTTTTAAAACTGCCCTCAGATGGCTCTGATATGAACCAGGGTTATAAACCACTGAGCTAAAAGACTGGGAAATTAAAGGGGGCTGAAAAGAAGAGGTTTTGTTCCCTCCCTCACCCCCTACCCCAAAATAAATGAGAGGAAAGAATATCCTAAAAGAACAAAACCCCTGAATACACACACATTTCCATTTTTCTTTGGTTTCTGTGACTATTTAAATAGTGGTATTTTGATAATAGGACTAATTAGCTTTCAAGAAAAAAGCTCTGTGGCCCTCAGCATTTGTCACACATCAGAATGGCTTGGGGAGCTGTAAAATCCAATGACTGCTATAATTGGCCTGGAGTGAAATTTTAACAGATCCCTGAAAGATGAAAATGTGCACCACCTGGGCTAGC